CGTGGCCTCATATATTTTCAATTTGACACGCGAATAACTTATTTACATTGTAACGGATTTAAATTATTCTTTTTTCCTTCGAAGAGTAGAATATTTCCTTTCAAACAAGATATACATTTGGTAAATCGGTTGAGCATTGACTGAGTTACAGTGGTTGAAATGTGAAAAAATACGCATAAAAAGACAAAATTTATTTTTCTTCGGACTGTACGATGAAATTATGATATCAAGCCGTATAAGTTTTATTATATTACGGGGAAGAAAATGAATAAGCTTTCAAAAATAAAAAAATTGGTTAAACCAGTGAGCGGAGCAGTATAGTCGGACGGGGCCGACCATATGATACCCTACACAACTTCCACGAAAAACTAACTTTCTGTGGATCTATATACTGAGCTTGGGCAATATTTAGCGAATTTTGAACCATCAGGACCAACTAGAGACCGACAATTATTACTAATGTTCAGTACAGCCCTTCTAATTACTTGCCCAGATTCCCTTCCCTTGTGTTGTGATCTTCTTACCCATTGGAGACTATAGATCGACTCGAAAAAACACAAAAAATTAAGTTTTCGGTCCACATCATCACAATATAATTATCTGATCGTCACCGAAAATTATAGGCGTTGTCCTTGATCATAACTGAAACCTCATGAAACATTTAAAAGTCATCTGCGCTATGTTTCCGCATTCCAGTGTGGTATTAATCATAGAACAGAAAATTGTTCTATGATTAAGGAAAAAATTCGGGGCTCAAAGGGCTTCCAAAATTTATTTTTTTTAACACTAGAAAGACTGGAATTTTGTATATACCTATATTGTCTAAAATCGGTCAAAATGACTTCATCCTGAAAAAAATTTTATTGTGTGAAGAAATTTTTTGAAACTTATTTTTTAATATTTTTTACATTATTTACAATCATACAAAACGTTGTTATTTTTATTTTTCCCGATTTGTGTGTTCGTTTGTGTTTCTAGAGTAGCAAACGGTTTTCGATGTTGTTGTACTGATCTGGTCATATAAGAAATTTACTTTATACAATAATAAAAATAGTTTTATTATTTAATATTTCACAAGAGGTCAAAATGACCGATTTTAGGCAATATAGGTATAGCACATGTGAATACGGAGAATGAAAGAGGGGGGAAGCAGCTACTGTGATTAATAAACGTAGTTCTATGTGGTACAAAAAGTCACCAAATTTTAAAAAGCTGTGCCATAATATACACAATTGTTTTTGTACTTGAAATTGAAAAACGGTCAAAATGACCGTCTTCGGCAATCTAGTGTTAAGAATATCCCTTTGAGTTTTCGAGTGAAAATCTCAACAATTCTTGATGATATAGTCGATTTATTTTGTTTGCATTAAGTGACGGCAAGAGTGTTTCTTAAAGACGTGTTTTTCGAATGGTGGGCACGCTAACTCAAATAGTAATAATCCAATCGGTTTTACATTTTAGACGTTATTCTGTGCATATGAACTGGAATAAATTTAATCGGTCCAGATCATCCTGATTTTCAGGGTACGCAAATTCGCTCGCGAATGGTTCGAAATACGTTCTATTTCGTTTTGGGCTCATTTCAGGGGACAGAGATTTACTCTTTCGAAAGTCGTTGGCATTTTTGGATTCAGGCGTTCATATATATATATATATATATATATAACCCACTGTCACAATATTTGCTTGAACAAAAATTGTACAAACAGATTAGCTCTGAAATTTTAATTATTTTACGGTTATACAGTATTTTTCGGTTAATTGCACATCAAAATTTGCACAAATTTTCGTTCAATTAACCGAGGAACCATTTATCCGAACCCGCTTAATTGAATAGTTTGTTCAATTACAGTAATCACGTATAGTTGGAACTACTAATGATTTAAAAAAATCCAATGTCAAATACAAATTACGCTTTCTCGAAGTTTTTCCATAGCAATAAATAGTCTTTTTCACAAATTATGTCAAATATGTATGTAAAAAAATGGCAGATTATTTTTCAATTATTATTGTGCAATTAACCGGTGAAAAGTAAAAGGAAATTTATTTTTGATGACATGAATTTTGAACCAATTAAGCGGAAAAATCAATTAACAGGGTTTAATTATCCGAGAAAATTTACATGTATTTTCCTATGAAATATTTTTTGCACCATCAGGTGGTTCAATTAAGCGTGGAAACCAATTAACCGTAGGGTCAATTAACCGAAAAATACTGTATTATGTTTGGTGTCTTTTTTCGATTTTTAAAAAGTTTACAGGTCATTTATTCAGATTGCAAATTCAAGAGGAAATCTTGGCCTATTTTAAGTTACTACATTGTTTGGCTTTCATCATGGAGTATGATATAGACGACCTTGTCCCATAATAATACTTTGTCAATAATATATTCTATAGTCAATTAATTACATTTACCCCAAGGAAATGCAATTATAACATCATACATTGTCCATTTCTTTACAACAAAACCAGTTCGTAGGGAAATATTTTCTGTTGGATTTTTTGTTTTTCGAAATGAAAAAAAAAATAAATATTCCCTTAACAATATTTATAATACAATACAAATAGTAAGCATATGTGTATACTCACTTATGTAAGTAGATACATTCCACAAATTGGATAAACAACTTATCGTGGAAAATTACAGGAAATTTAGATCTCACAATAGGCTTGATATTCGAATGCAATATTTTGTTTTATAATAATGGCATCTAATTATCGAAGAATTCAGATAATTGCCTTTAAATGCGGCAGGAAAAAAAACGAAACAAATAAATTATCTTTTATCACATATCTATCTGTACACAGTAAATGCAAGTCAATAGGTGGGAGAGAAATATTTTTACTGGGTACAGAATGAAATGAGCAAAAAAAATATACATATTGCAGAATTTTCCTATGTGAATTTTTATTTATAAACAATGTCAATAAAAAATAACAATTAAGATTTTTTTATTGATTTTTTTATGCATCACTTAAAATATGATAATAATTTTGCTATGAATTTAAATCAGTAAGAAGACTAGCCAGTTTATGGGTACTAACGAAAAAATAATTTCATTTCAAAACTATCTCAATAAGTCTTCCATCTATCAGGGGAGTTCAGGGCATTTCTTCATCCAGTACATATTCGATATTTAAGGTTATTTAAGGATTTAAGGTTCTCACATCGAATGACAGTAAGAGAAGATAACTGCCATTTCGCAAGATAGGTCAATTCCGAGCGCCACATTGTAATTATCCGGGGAAATTCGAAAATAATAACAAGGCAATACGAATCATTGCACACCATAACCACATATATACATGGACCGATATACATATATACATAGCCCCCATTGGAAGGTACCTCCACATTTTCCTTGCCCAGTTTTTATACCCTACACAGCTATGTTGTCGGGGTATTATAGCTATGTGCAGCCCCAAGAGTTTGTAACGCCGCGAAATATTGGTCCTAGACCAGTGATGCACACGGTGAGAGGATGGCAATGTGTAAATGTATTTGTGAGACTAGTACACAAATCTTAAGCAGTCCACACACGTCAAACATGTGCATTCCATCGGTGTGAATGAAATTAAAAAAATTAATTAAATATCAAAGTTCGGTCTTTTTTACGTCGTCACTATCGCTGTCCATCTTCAATCTTTAAAAACCAAATTCGAAATGAAGTTTTGTTGATTCGTTTGTGGTCTAAGAGCTTCACATCGATCCATCGTACATGTTTGACGTGTTTGGGCCGCTTAAGCGTAGCCGCAAAATGATGTACATCACCATAGACATGTTTACTCGTTGAAGTCTCAACGACGACTAAACGAATGAGCGTAAGAATCCGTGTGAGTTGAGCTGACCGCTAGAGTGCAAGGGCGTGCATCCCTGTCCTAGACCCACCTTTAAGTATACCGATCGTCATATCTCGACTAGCTGAGTCGATCTAGACATGTGTGTCCGTCCGTCTGTCCATTATAATTTGTAAACACGATACAGGCCACAGTTATGGACCAATCTTCACGAAATTTTGCATGTAGGTTGGGTTCTGCCCAATGAAGGCCCCTATAAAGATCGGTTTGAAAAGATCGGTTAATATTTAGGGGATGAAATGGACCAAAAACTTTATTTTTGTCTGATTTTCTGGTCGGTATAGAGGCCGCAATTACGGCCCAAACATCGCGAATTTTTACTTTTGGTAAAGATCGGTCAATATTTAGTGGGTCTAAAGGGCCCTGACTTTTGTGTGAAAAATGACAAAATTGGTGTTCTATAGCGCATATATTTCCTGCTAAGGAACATATACCTGGGAATTTGACAGTATATCAAAGAGGAGTGGCTGACCTTTAATTTGATACCAATTATAGTATGTACTCGGATGTGGGAGTTACACTTAAATATTTACAGGTGCTTACGTATTCAACCCATTACCACACTAGAGGGCGGAAATATAGCGCTGATCGCTTTGCAATTTTCCAGATATGGTCTAGGACAACGCCTATAATTTTCGGGGATTATAAGATACAAATATTGGGATGAAGTGGTTCGATTTTTTTTTTTTTTTTTGTAGTTTTTGAGTCGATTTGTAGGCCACAATTATAAGCCGAACATCACCATACAACTCACAGTGAAGGGAATATGGACAAGTAATTAGAAGGACTATAGTGAATATTAGTAATATTCGGAAAATAAACCAGTGTAAGGAAGAGCTGCAGTTGATATCTAATCGGGCAAGAGGGTGCAACTATATAGATATATTGCCCAGGCTCGGAATAAGAATCCACAAAAAGTTAGAGTTCCGTGATATTTGTGTAGGGTATCGTATGGTCGGCCCCGTCCGACAATACTGCTCCGCTCACTGGTTTAAGCTGTCCCTGTAATATTCTCAGAGCATTAATAGCCTACTAGCGCACAATTTTCAGAGATATAGTCCCCTTATCAGGGGGAAATGTTTCAATTCACTGTATATCCTACAATCTTCATAAAATGTTAATCAATTTTTTCGCATTTTTCAGGCTATGGTGAATCAGAATTCACATATTATGGTAGCATGGGACCCGATCACTGGAGTGAACATTACAATCAATGTGCCGGGAAACATCAATCTCCAATTAATATCAATGATGTTGATGTTATCGATCGTAGTTATCCCGAGATAAAATATGAAAATTTCGATAAGAAACCGCTAAATGCTACCATGACCAATAATGGACACACAGTCCAAGTGAAATTGATCTACGAGGACGAGGGACCACTTATATCAGGTGGTCCACTAACTGGAAAGGGCATTTATGCTTTCCAACAGTTACATTTCCACTGGGGCGAAGATAACAGTGTGGGCAGTGAGGATCGCATCAATAATGTTTCGTTTCCCATGGAATTGCATATCGTATTTCGTAATATACGATATAAGGATTTTGCCGAGGCAACGCAAAGGGATGATGGTGTTGTTGTAATGGCATTCTTTTATGAGGTAAATAAATTTGTTAAATTTTCATTTTTGACTACTATATGAAAGTGTGTGTGTGTTTGGGCTGTATATTTTTCATTAATAATGTAATGAAAATGGTAAGTGGTGTAGTTAAATATTTCGTAATGGGATTACACGTGTGGTTTTCCAATCAAATATTTCATTAATGCCTCTTTATAATTCGTTTCCCCAGATAAGTTCGGATCAAGCGGCCGATCATGACTATGATACGTTTACGAGCAATTTGGAAAAAATTGAAGAGCCCAATTCAGTGGTCGTTATGGACACCCTGACATTGTTTGGTTTAATGCCGGATAATCTAAACAGCTACTATACCTACATAGGTTCCCTTACAACACCACCCTGCAGTGAAGATGTAATATGGCTGGATTTCAACTCACCCATTTCTATATCAGCCAAATTGGTAATAATTGAACATTTTTTGATCATAATAATTAACACCGCCATGATAAAGGAATAACTTAATACCCGCCATTTGATTTCCATTTTAGCTGGAAAGATTCCGCTCCCTGAAGACCTTCGATGGCTCATCGCTGACACACAATTTCCGACCTGTTCAGCCGCTTAACAATCGGAAAGTCTATCGAGCCAAGTCTGAAATGCGTGTACCCCAGGAAGGTGGTGCCAGTAGTATACCCATGGTGGATGCATGGAATGCAGCTGATATTTCACCACAGCCCATGTTCTTGGTGGGCATATTGAGTGTGGTGTCTACGTTAATATTTATTTAAGTTTAACAATTAGTTTTAATGTAAGATCAAAAGAACAACAACAAAATACTCTTGTACAATTTTAGAATTTAATAGTCATTATGTTTTCTTATTATAATTTTTAGTATTATACTCATATATGCATGCAAATGCATGTTTGATTATATACATACAAACCAAACTTTTAATTATCAATTATTTGTTAGCTTGTAGGTTTTTTATTTTATTTTTGGAATGTATTCAGCCATATTATTGAATAAATTATAAACTTATTTTAAGTTTCCAATTAAGCTGTCCAAACCTTTCGGTTTGTTTTACCAAATTTGCATGTGTCCTTGCAATTTTTTTAGGCTCTTGAGTAACTTATACTTAGCCGTACTATTGAAGGCATGTATAAGGTTCACGTACACTCCGAAAGCTTGGCAGGAAGATAGGGTAGTATTTATGCCCAAAATCCGTCAAGCATCAAATAAAAACCGTGGATCGATCGGACAGTCGACATCGTGTTAAAGAGCAACATTTCCGACGAAAGGGGGATCGGTGGAACACGCTCTTCACGAGGTAGTACGCCGTACTGAGAGTACCTGTTTGTATCGCTATTGAAAGAGTTTTCAACAATGGCAGCACCAAAATACTTATCCAATCCTTGGAAACCGTTCGAGTTGACCAGCCACACATAGGCATGTGCTAAAGGAGCCTAGGGACCAGGAAGTCAAAAATATCACAGTATAAAGCCCTAATCGTCTAAACGTATCAAATATCGTTAAATATTTGGTAGCATTCTAAACGGAAAACTTAAATGGGAATACCACATAAACAGAATAATATAGCTATTGTTTAGAAAGTGTTGTCAATGTCGAGAGTTTTGCATTTTATGAATACAATTCATAAAACATTAACTACTGGTTTCTTGTAAAAAAGGAGAGAAAAACTTTGGAGTGTGTGTGTTTAATTTTTATTTTTTTTTTTCTATTTCTATTCGTCTTTGTTATGTCTTGTATCGTTTCTTCGTATTTACTGACATGTTTCATGTTCTGTTTCATTAGAACTATCACATACAATATTAAACATTCGGTTGGGCTTGTTATTCGTATCAAAACTTATTTAATATATATGCTAAATGCAGCAAATTTATATCGAAATAATTTGGAAAATGCATATGCGAATTTTGTTACACCAATGATGAGAACGGTAAAAGTGTCTGAAAGTAAGAAACAATGGTATGCGATTTTAGCTACAAAAATAGTATTCAAACAAACGGTTGCAAAAACAAGGAGAGATGTGGAGAACGATACAAAACAAAGAATGGTGGTAGTGTTTTTTCTTGGGGGATACATTTATTTATTTAAAAAGAGAGTTAGAGAGGAAAAAAAATGAGCGCGGTAAAGAAGAGCGAAATAGGAAAATAGTTGTGCAATTAATGAAATGTTTACATTTTTGTTTAAAAACATCCAATGAAAATACCAAAAATACGCGTGGGTGAGGGGAAACTTAACTCTTCGAACATTTGCTGCAGTCGAACATATGTGAATACGCACGCTTTTTGTATGGGCACGATCTTCAAAATATATCCCCAAAATTTCTGGAGACTTAAAGTGATTGTTTCAGTTTTCCATCTTTAAATTGGATTGTCGACAATTTAATTTCTGCCTGGACGGTGGAATGATATTCATACCAGGTGGTCTTTCATCTTAATTTGCAGTTTGTAGAGGTTCTCATCCGCTGCACATCCATTCGATATTTTATTGCTTTAGAGCTAAGCTCACTCCTCTCTCACTTCCTCTTCCATAATCTTCCACTGCTCATGCATTCTAAGACAGTACTGTTTGTCTTACGCTCGTTTTCAGACTCGAAATTTGTGTTTGACTCGGAATTTGAGTATGTCTCGGAAGGCAGGGTCGAGATTGTCCTTTCCTCAGATAAATGTTTTTGTCCGTAGGCTGTTCTTCTCTTGGCAACGGACTGAAAAAATCTGAAGAGTCCAACGACGTCTGTCCCCAGGGCATGCGACTCCGTTCACGCCGTTCTGGCGCATGAAACTAGAAAAGGTACTTTGTCCTAAAAAATTAACTTCATAAAAATAAAAATTTGAATGAAAAGTAGTAGCTACCATGGTATAATTATTACAAGGTTGGGCACAGCTACCAACTGATTACAATTTTTTCTCAAGGTGGTTTGTTCCATCAAATCAAAATACATATTTTGTGGATGTGTGTGTAATGTTTTGAATACTATGTCAAATAAATTGAAATATATTCAAAATTAATTGAAATGATAATTATTTTTAACATGTTCGTCTGGAAGTAATTACTTAGTTATGGATAAAATAAACATTTAATGGTATTCCCTACTGGATTTTGGAAAGAAATCATGACCTTTCATTCATTTTTCGCGTTTTTAGTTTTGTGTTGAAAAAATGTCAAATAAACACAAACACTTGTTGCGTATATTTATAAAGCTGTTCCCCAACTATGTTATGTAGAGCTTCTGTGATTGTTTAGCTTTTCCATTTCTCAATTTGATTTTAGGCAATTTAATTTCTCTATGCCCCCTTTGCTTTGACGATGGAATGGAATTAGCAGTATCTGGTTTGCCGATGGAATATCCAACGTGTCCTTTTCTCTCAACTTGTAGAGATTCTCATCACCTTTGCACACCAATTTTATATTTCATTCACAGAGCTTTAAGATTTGTCCTTCTCTTTGGTACCTGTAACTGGACTAGGTTCTATGTCTGGGTTTTAATTAACCCTTTGTGGAAAAATGTTGCCCACAGGCAACAAAATGTTTTTGAGCTTATATTTAATATGTAGCTAGTAGATATATATTCCTTGGATTTCATACGTCAAGACCTAATTATGGACACATATCAAAAGAAAAATCCCAAAAATTCAAATTTTTGTTAATGCCCTCTCCTCTTTTCAATATAAAGAAGAGGACAAAAATGTTTACAGTACTAATTTGTGTATACAGTCGAAAATATTTAAATCGCTTTGTATTCGAAATATACGAATTCTGCCATCAGAATAATTTTTTTTCTTGTAAAACAGAATATAGAGAATTATTTAAAATGATTTTTCGTAAATTTTTCATTTGCTTTTCTTGATATTGGGCTTTTATTTTTCAGAAAGAATGTACTGTATCTCCCGAATGCAAGGATGTAGCGATGTACAATTTTGTCTATATCCTATCTAGGATAGTTGCATTAAATCTGTGAACAGAAAATTGTTCTATGATTAAGGAAAACAATTCGGGGCTCAAAGGGTTAAAAATGGTCAATGGAAAGGAGTAGCTTCCATAGCAGAACCCAAAGGGGAATTATACGTAAATGTGTCAGATAAAAAAAGCATAGCCGTAGGTTATATGGAAGTTACTACCTTTCCGTTTATTTTATATATGATTTAACAAAATATATTCTTTCCAAAAAAGAATTTTAACGTGGTTCTAGCGAGACATTTTAATATAAGTTATGTTAGTTATTAACTGGCAAAAGTTTATATATTCGTACTATTAAGAAGCCACAGCCCTAGTGGACATACCCATACATCATTCAAACCAGACTAACGAATATAATGGAACAATGGATTTCCCTTGTCGGCATGCCAAACTATGTCGATGACATTCTCAAATATATTATACATACACTTGAGTAGTTTATTTTGAAAATGGTTTGAGACCATTTTAGGTTTTGATCATAGTTTTTTTAGAAAATATTAGGAAATATATTACGCTATATATCCTTTCATTTTAAGGACACAAAGCCATAAACAAAATTAATATCACTTAACACTACAACGCCGAAGGCGGCCATTTTGACCGTTTTTCAATTTCAAGTAAAGAAGCAACTGTGCATTTAATGACACTTTTTTTTAAAATTTGGTGACTTTTTGTATCTCATAGAATTACGTTTATTATAAAAAATCACCAAAACTAAAATAAAAGTGTCATTAAATGCACAGTTGCTTTTGTACTTGAAATTGGAAAGCGGTCAAAATGACCGCCTTCGGCGTTCTAGTGTTAACAATGATTTTAAAACAAATCAAACCCAAACCTTAAAATATGTCAATATAAGTACAAATGGTCTTTAATCCCTTTGGCTGTTCAGTATACTAATTATGGATATAAACCAGTATTTAAATGTACATTTTAAGGTATAATCCCCGTATAATTGCTGTCATTAGCAGCAGGTATTTTCTTCTTATAATTTGTTTGATATTTTCTAAAATGCGGGTGGGATAATATGAGTACAAGTACTGATTCTAAATAGGTGCATAACAAATGTATCCGGTTGATTAATCCACCTAAAATAATATTTGTTTAATCCGCACAAGTTTTCCAAGAACATGTCGGATTAAGGAGTGAAACACACACATTTTTTACAATTTTACTTGTGATGTGACTTAGGTACAATTTGTGTTAATCGATATTTTAGCAGGTAAGATAACTATATTCAGGCCTAATCCCTTATGAAAGTAGTACCTAAAATATGTACACAAAAATATGTTATTATCATATACGAACAACATTTCAATAATCAAATTTTATACTTAACATTGCAGTAAAAACATTATGCGTAAGATTGTTAATAGCTATATTGTTTCGATAGTTAGGCGAAACATTACTTAGGAGAACGAAAGCCCTTGGCCAGCATATTGAGAACTCGGAAGGACAAATTCGTCACATTATTCAGTTATGGCGTGGTGATTTTTTGTTTCCATTCGGGATTTTCAATAACCAGACCGCGAGATTCATTTTATGTCGCAATGTTATTAGCTTTAAGGCTGAAAGAAGAAAAATGTTGCCGTAAGTTTATATTAAGGGGACCACACCCATTCTCGATTTAAAAATTTCCAGATTTTCATTGGGCTGGCAAATGAATACCAACGCATGTTAAGGTTTGTAACTTAACACATATATAATTGAAGATTTAAAAGAGACGAAAAATAATTTGAAAATGTTAGTTGTTCTTGCTGTTGTTGTTTTTGGTGATTAAAGAAAAGTCCTTATTTTTGATGGCGGGCA